TCCTATTTCTCATGAAATATTGTTTATGGCAGCAACCACTTTTCGAATACATTCGATCAATGAGGATAGTACCAATGATCTACTTATCATTCAATTAACACCAATACTTGACGATGAAAATACGGCTAGTAGAACAATAGAGGCAAATCCCGTGATAAATCTGGGAAATGCATTAATTGAGCAGTGTAAATACAATAAAGTTGAAATTTATTATAAAAACTTGATACAAAGCAATTTTAATTTGGATAGAACCACAGTAAGTATAATTTATAATAATCTGGGTGTTATTCAATATGAACAATATGATAATTACGATATGGCTCATAAATATTTCTTGAAAGCTATTGAAATCATGAATCGTGATGAAACTGGTATTATCTGTCGTTCTACAACAATAGCAACACGTTCAACAATTTATGAAAATATTGCTCATTTATATCAATCAATGAAGAAACCAAGTATTGCTCGCGCTTATTTTTTCAAAGTATTAAATACACTGAACAATGATGAAAATGGGAATATACAGAAAAAAGGTGATATTTACACTCACATCGGCTGCACATATTATCATCAAGGAAATCTGAAAGATGCTGAAGTTTATTTAAAACAAGCTATTACAATCACCGAAAGAAGTTTACCGGACACTGATGAAATTTTACTTGAATACAGAAAAATACTCGGTTTATTATCTAGCCAGATGCTGAAGCAGGAGGATACTGAAGTTGAAGAGGAAGAAGACATTTCTCGTGAAATGAATAAGACTAAAAGACAAGGCTTAGCCTTGATTCGTTCCTAATTGATTTTTCAATTCATTTCTCATAAGTTTTTATTCTCATTTTGTCTGTTCTTGATTCACCCCTCTTATGCACGCGAAGACTACATTAAATACGTCTATGATTTATGCCTCATGAATACAATATATGATGAACTGGTATAATTATGCGCACATACGATGGTCGAAGACACAAAAATAAAAAAGAATGTTATGGGACGAAATGAGAATATAACTTTATGAGGAATGGATTGAGCAGATACCAAAATGAAAGAAAATATACTTTTGAAATGGAATTTAGACTACGTGTTGTGTATCTTGACTGACTAACTTTAACTGAATGTTAATTTCTTGCATCTCTCATATCTACTTACCGGCTTGTCCACGTAACTCCGCTGGCAGAGATGTCATAGCGTTACCTTTTTTGCTCATTTTGTTTTGAGCATAGTTCCGTCATAAAACGTCACAGAGAGTTCGGAAACATCTTTAATTGAAGAAAAAATTGTTTTAAAGATATTGAGATCTGTCCACACCTTGAAAAATGTCTCTTTAAAAATCTACATGCAAAATGGTGAGATCTACTTTTGATGAAACAAACCAGAAATGTAGCTCTCCACATTTTCATCACAGTTTTTCGAAAAAACATTTTTCAGGAAGCGGATAAATCTCAAAATCTTTAAAACAATTTTTTCTTCAATTTGAGACGTTGCCGAGCACTCTACAATGTTTCGTGACGGAGTTTTGCTCAAAACAAAATGAGCAAAAAAGGTAACGCTATGATATCTCTGTCAGCTGAATTACGTGGACAAGCCGTTACGTACTAACTTCTGGTAATAAAGAAAATGTTCAAAATAACATCTTTGCTTTTCTTTAATTGTTATGAAAATCTGTTTTGCTTATCGTGATGCTATATTATTGGACTGATCTGTTACGTTCTTATCTTTCTAGATTTGATCTTTTTATGCCTTCATACTTAATCACATGTCCAGTGCTAGTATAATACAGCCACGAATAACAATGGCTAGGTTAGTAAAATATTCTGTAGCAATTGTTTGGTTCGATGAAAAGAACGTTTTACTAAACTTAAAATCATTTTAACTATCTCTTCTATTTTAGATCAATTCTAGCACAAGAAGAAATTCAATTAGAAGACGATAATCACAGTCAAAATTTTATCGGTATTTTATTTGATGAAACCAACCAGTATGCAAGTGTCAAAAATGATCTTAGAAGAATATTTAATGATTTTCAACCATTCTATAACGTTTTTGATCTTTTTACTGAATTAAAACCGTTTACCTCGTCTACAATAAAAATTTTATTAATAACTACGAGTTCTTCTGGCGAATTTGTTATTCCACTTCTTGAACAAAACGTTCAATTTATTTCCATTTATATCTATTGTCAAAATACAAACGACTATGGTAAACAAAGAGCGATTACTTATAAAAGTCAGACATATGTTTATGTCGATATGGATTTATTATATCAACAATTGAAAGAAAACATACTAAATGTAATGAAAAATACGACAACCGTAGCAGAATCTTCATTGCCGTTGACTACCTCGCAAGTAAATACTGCTTCATCGCCGTTGATCAACTCACATATAAATACTGCTTCAATACCATCAATAAGTATTTTTGCAGAGAAATCGAAAAATAATTCTATACAAAGTTTAACTAATCACTCAGTTTCATTTATACATTTTCAGTTATTAATCGAAAGTATTATACGTATGGAACATGATATTATCCGAGCCAAAGACCATATGATAAAAAAGTGTGTTGAATGTTACCCGAACAATTTAAAGGAACAAGAAAATATTGAGGATTTTAAGCTTAACTATCGTCCAGATGAAGTGGTAACATGGTATACCAAAGCCACATTTCTCGTACATTTATTAAATAAAGGATGTGGAACACAAAATATAGATTCCATCTTCCCATTTCGGTTGTTTATTGCGGATTTACATAACCGACTGACTACACTAGGAAGAGAATATAAAAATCCCGACGAAAAGTTTGTTGTTTATCGGGGTAAATTTCTTCAAACACGTGTGTTCCAAATGTTAAAAGGCAACAAAAATGGTCTTGTATGTATTAACGGATTTTTGTCAACTTCGTTTCATGAACAAGTAGCCATTTTTTTTGCCGGCGATGGTTCTAGTCGTTCCGATCACGTGCCAGTGATATTCAAATTATTAATTGATATGAAAATTTTAACAAAGCCGTTTGCATCAATTAATAATGAGAGTACAAAACAAGATGAAGATGAATTATTATTTTCAATCGGATCTGTTTGGAGAATAGGATCAGTTGATTTTAATGATGAGAAGAAGATTTGGTATGTTGAATTGACTTTGGCTGAACACGATGATAATCAACGATCAGTTGAATTGACAGAATATTTAAAAAGACAAATGATAGGAAATTGCCCAACATTATTAACATTAGGTTATTTTTTATGTGAAATGAATGAATACAAAAAAGCAGAAAAGTATTATCGATTATTACTAAAGGAGCTGCCAGAAGATCATGAACTTATTCCAGAAATATACAATAACATCGGTTGTATACGAATGGAAATAGGCGATGAGCCAATTGCATTAGAATATCTTCAAAGAGCACTTCATAGTCAGCAAAACGAATCATTATTGCTAGCTGCAATTTGCAATTGTGTGATGTGTTCTAGTCATAATAATGACGGACATGAGATAAGTAAAGACATATCTGATTCGATTCATGAACTAGATGTTATAACGAAAGCGTTATCACTAACAAGTCTTTTATTACCAAAAGTGTTAAATAATATGGGACTTCTGTATCATAGAAAAAATGACTATCTCAAAGCACGTGATTTATATGACCAAGCATTAAAAGCTTTACTGTGCAGTGAAATTCGCTATCCACCAGATATTTCTGTAGTTTACAATAACAAAGCAGCTGTCGAGTATAGTTGTAAAAACTATGAAAAAGCTTGTGAATATTATGAATTGGCAATCAAAATTGGAAAAGACTTTTGGATTGATACAGATCCGATAATTATTGAATATAATGATAATCTTGCAACTGCTCGAAGGAAAATTACTTAACATCTGTAGAAGTGTTATCAGTCAAATAGTTTAGAAAAAAAAGTATGCGTTGAAGTAGTTAAGATCGGAAAATAAATAAATATTGCTGCGCTATGAAGTACAGTTTTTCTAAGACTATATGGCCAAAGTAGAGATCTGAACGCTTTCCTATTACTGTACCGTAAGCATTTATCTTAAAGAAAACAGATAGTTTCTCTCTCGTATGGTAACGTTCTGAGACCGATCTGATTTGTGAATATGCAATTTACATAATATCTAGATGTTTAGGTATTCAGATACTCAACATCTGAATATCTAAATATTTAAATATCTAAGTTTTATGATCTTCAGTTTTATCGTACTCACTCTCATCAGACCCTACTGAACGTTCTTGATATATTGA